AAAATTTGTTCACATGACGCACGCAGCTGCCGCCGCAGCGAAGTGCGAGATTTTCCTTTGCTTTGCCCATTTTCGTTTTTGGTATTTTTGCGCTTTTGTTTACATTTTGATTCAGCTATTTTGAGAAGCCATAAACAAAACAAAGGAAAACGTGCAGAAGCCCAAGCAAAAGCAGAGGAGCAGAAGGAAATCGGAGCTGGGGTAAAGTCGAAAGTCGGAAAATATATAACTAATATATATATACGCGGTACCATCAATATATATATGAACATATATACAGAGGGAAACCTAATGAGCTGTGCAGCTTTTGAAGTTGCCTCATTACGGTGATCGAATTGAATGGAATCGAAAATCGATCGATAGTCAAATGGAAGACCCACAATTAAGGCAGGCAGCCATAGATAAGACCTGGCCCGTTGGGGCGGGGAATGGGAATTGGAATGGGAATGGACACGCTCGAGGGTGTGCGTTAATCACGCAAGTAATTCTAATGCCCGACCCTCGTCCCTGCCCCATTGCGATAAGTTTTCCACCCGCCTGGGGGTGAGTTTTCCCGGTATACCGCTATACCGCTTTCCCGCTGCTGGCACAAAGCATAATCAGCGCTGAACATGCCAAGCACAACAAAAGAAGCAAAAACTGTTGGCCAGAGAGCATTGTTGGGTCTAAGGCTGGGGGTGCAGTCTCTGCTCCCTGTTAACAAAGCTATAAAACTGTCACCTCTAATAATCAAGAAACTCAAATTAAGGCCCGGAGCAAGTCTCAGGCGCGTGCCCTTCGACATACATAATAAAAATTCAAATTATTTCTGCCAAGCGTAGCGGAATTGAGAACTAAAGGATTTCATTAGAATTTCTCAAGGGGGAAGCGCCGTAAAAATTAAAAAAATTTACTTGATTGGATTCCTTATTCCTATTAAAATGCGTTAGAAGATCATTTGCTTATTCATTCATAAAGCTTTGCATAATTTAGTTTTTACGACAAAAAACAGGATACAGTTGTTATTACAACTTTATATATCAATGTGTAAATTTCGTTAAACAATAAATTTTTTTTTTCTAATGTCATTATCATACAATTAAAATTCAATAGATTCTAAAAATATATTTAAGCCAAAACAAATTGATATCAGTTTAATAATTTTCTAAAATCTTTTTTAAGCACTTTCAGAGCATTTTTTTAGCTTCAGCTTGCAGTATCCAATAATATTTTGAAATATTTTGGTGTTTATATTTTTAATCATCCTGATTCTTAACTTGAAAGGTTTATAAGTCGAATTTGTTTTACTGACACTAACCAGCAAGAACAGACGTTCTATTTAGCTTAAATGAATTACGACGTATTGTCTTTCGAGTAATTGGATTTCAGCTATATATTTAGATTACAATGCACTTCATTCACTGAATACTAATTCCATTTCCCTTGTCTAATCAATTTGAAGCACATTCCCATAATGGAAAACTCCGTGCTAACCCTTCCAAAGTTCTCGCAAGAAAATTTCATTGGCAAACAAATTTTCGCTTTGTCGTTTGCCTTGCCTTCTTAGGTAGTATTTATGATTATTAGGCTGGGCAATTTGCCGACTTAAGCAATTACCAGCGAGCGAACAGAAGGCGTTGGCGCTTTTCAATATTTATACGCCTGTCACCCACACCACTCCCATTTTGGCCCGTCTAATGGTATGTAAATGCTTGACGGCTTACAAAACACCGAGCCAAGCATAACAAAAGGCGACCACAACCCGTTATTATTATTGTTGCATACGTCAAGGCGTTCTCGCTATGCGGTCTGTCTTGTTTTCCCTTCGACTCTTTGTTTTTTTCTGCTTTGTTTTCTCAAGTAATTTGCAGTGGCATGTAATTTAATAGCGTTGCATGTGTGTGTTAGCCTCGTCGCGCTGTTGAATGCGCCCCCAGGTGTCCTTTTGCGGGAGGCGGAGGGAGGGGCCGTCAAAAGGTATGTTCTGCCAGCGGCTGACAAGTCAGGTCGACTCCTTCGGCCTCCTCAAGATTATTGGTTTCAAGGGTAAAATTATGAAATGAAGTGGAAAATTAAGTGTATGATTGTGCCAAGTGGCAAGTGCCAAGACAGCGCCGCCAAAGGAGAGGCGATTAGGAGTGAAGCGGCATAATGTTTGAAGGGTAAAGATGAAAGAATACATAATGAAGGAACTAAAGGTGAATAGGATGAGGAATTGTCTTTACATGTAAATAGATATAAGAGAAGATATCGATTTTAGAAGCACATAATATCTCGTGAGATTTAAACGGGCAAACTTTAACGTTATAAAGAAGATGGCAGAAACTTTATGTTGCACGTTTAATAGAACCAATGAAGATAGAATATCGTTTCTAGTAACTGAATTTTAGTTACAGTCTCACAACTTATGTATAATAGTTTTCAAATAAATTAATGTGTAATTAAAAACAAGCATTTAAAAAAAGAGCAAGGAAAAATATTTCAAGATAGGATTGAGTATGTTAAAAACGATTATGCAAACTATTCTCATCTTCTTGTATTTTGTCCACATGGTTTCTTTGAATTTCAATTTAAATAACAAATCTTAGAATAATTTTTAAAGGACGAAAATAAAAATTTCAATTTAGATAACAAATCTTAGAATAATTTTTAAAGGACGAAAATAAAGATAACTAAACCAATTTTACTTTATATTTTACGATGCAAAATATAAAACTGCATTACAAGACAAACTATTTAATAACATTCCCTGGCTAGCTTTTTTCTCCAAAATATTCGTGAATAAATCAGAATATTTGAACCCATGAAATCAGTCTACTTTGATGGTTTACTGTCTCAAAAGAAAACTTACTGGCTATCGAAGGATTTAACTTCAATCGGAAAGTTCGTGTCTGTGAGTCATGGCCTAAAATGCAAGCGTTCAGTTCGAAAGGAAAGAAAAAGGAACCCAAAAGAACTGTGTCAACGACTTTGCTCCACTTAACCATTTAACGAGCAAGTTAGGTAACACGTAATGCCAACAACAACAACTGAGCAGCAACAAAAGGATGTGGAAAAATTCAAAACAAGTGGCACAAAATTTTGAACAACAATAGGAGGAGCGCAGGATGGCAGGATAGGAGGAAAGCAACAGAGAACGCATGTGTCATCATTAGAATAAGGAGAGTAAGGATAAACGGAGAGCGGCGGAGGGCTTTCAAACATCCCTGCCAAGGATAAAAGGCAGACACACAAGTAGAGTAAGTGTGTGTGAGTGTCTGTGGGGGGAAGGGAGGTTATTGGGAAGACAGGACGCGGGACGCACGCACAAAGGACAACAAAGAACGCCGGCGACGTCATCTAACGCAGCACGCACCACCCTAATGCTCCCACATCCTACATCCACCCACCACCCGCACCACCACCCTCTGCGCTGTGCAACCCCCATCTACCATCTACGCCCGATCCTAGACAGCCACCACCACCACCATAAAAGTGAAATACACAATGAAATTTACGCAATATCCCCGAGTAACAGACTTTTCTGCGTTGGCGATGTAATAAAATCAAAAAAATAGAGAATAGAGAATAGGGAATAAGAGAAAAGAGGGTGACAACTGGAGCAACATCAACAACAACAATAACAACGACATATATGATAAAGCAGTCAGCTGAAAGTGAAACAGATAGACAGATATATATAGGGGGGAAAGAGAGGGCATAAAGTAGTTACTCAACGCAACAGAAATAAATGTAAATCCGATTAGAATTTAAGTTTTTTTTTCGTTTCGTAAATTCCACAAAGCTGGTTGACAACTTTCGGCCGGAATCAAGAGACTAAAGAGCAAGTGAATGAAAAAGTTGATAAATCAATATGTAGGTTAAAGACGCATCCATATGGTTAAAGAGAATTGTTTAAATTTGGATATACAAAGCCAGATGAAAGGATTTCAACAAAGCGCAATATAAATAAATCCTAATCTACTGCCGTTGAATTGGGAGATTTATGATATTAATATAGGAAAAATAATATTTCGATATTCTTTAATTGTTACACTACAAAATTCTGACGCACTTTAAAAAGAGAAAGCACGAAAATTGGTCTGCAAGTTTTTTCTCTTTGTATTTTGAGCAAGGAAAACGCTATTTAATTAATAATTAATATATTCATAAGACCCAATTTATTAAGCTATTTGCACATTAAAAATAATTGTGGAGTCCAAATGAAAAATGATTTGGTAAATAAAATTTGTAAGCTAATTTTTTGTATTTAACCAGAGACACATTCCCTGCACAAAACTGCTTATTTAACGCATTGAAAAACTGTGGGACAGCTTTAAGAACTGGTAATATTATATAAAGATAGGTCTTATTATTATTTGAATTAAGTTAAAAATTTATTGCACATTATCTGAGAAAAAAATTTATAAAATCGCGAGATTAAAGTAATAACCAAAGTTTCATAAGTTCGTGTCTTCAATTTAATCTTTCACCCGATTGTAGTCTACTTTTTGGATTATGTGGCACTTGTTTTCTCTGGAGGACACCGAGCTCTTTAAGCCGGGACCAATGGACTCGAAACAAAGGGAATAGCAGCCAGTGGAGATGTTGGTCATTGTGAAGATATTGCGGCGTGTTAATGGCCAAGAGACGCAGACGGTCAAAACGAGACTCACATTGACCTACACACACAGACGCACTGATTTCGAATGTTCGCACAAAAAAATGTAACCGCAATCACCCACACTCGCACACAAAACGACACACAGACACAGCGAATGATTAATTGTCAAAATATGTTGAGCAAAGCCAAAGGCAACAAAAAAAAGTAAAATGGAGAGGAAAAGCGTCACAACAACATAATAAAAAGTGCGTTAGTGTGTGCGGCGATGTATGCATATGTATTTGTATTAAGTTGTCATTACGTGACTGCGGACAACAAGATTTATTATCATTTTGGGCCCCACTGTCCCCCGCCCCCCGGCACTCCCCTCACGTCCTGCGGTGTAAAAATTCATTTGACTCTCGATTTTGATACTCACAGTAACTTGTTGAGCAAACTCAACCTTCGGCTGGCCGACCAATTCAATAATATGAACCATATGGAACGATTTGCTCTTGGACGTGGCGCCTTTGCGAGAAAAAATTGTTAACGATTTTCACCGATTCTCTGGAAGCTTTTCGGTTTTTCTTCCTCTTAAAATTGCCGTTGTTTATTTATCTGAGTTTTTCGGTTTTGTTTATATTTTTAAGCACTTTTTTGTAAAGTTTCGTTTCTGTTTTTCACTTGAACTGTCTTTTCTGTACTTGTTACTTATTGATTTTAATGTATTTGGCTCTCTGCGTTATTTTTCGTGTGGTTTAGCCTGCTATAATGTGTGTATGGCTTAGTGTTTATAATAATTTATCTTATCTGTATTTTCCAGTATTTAAACACACGCGTGTACTTCTCTATCTCTTTTTTGCTTTCTCTCTCTGATTTTTCTGCTCGTTTCTAAAATCGAATTAAAATTTGTGTTTCGTGAATATTGGTCTGTTTTTGCTGTAAGCATGGGGAATTGGATAATTTTCCAGGTACAGTTGGCTAGAAATATTTCTTCGACTATGAGTTTAATTGCTTGGAAGTGAGGTGATTGCAGAGAATGGAAAGAAAATCAATCGGGGGTAAATATTTATTGATATATTTATTTGTGTTGGCAACGCAAATGATTTATCATTTCCATTCAAGGAATCGGCTTGCTTTTGCAAAAGACAAAGAAGAAAATATGAAAAAAATTTTGAAAAGGTGCAAATATTTTTAGGTTTCTGAATATTCTTTTATGAATACAAATTCTGAGGAAACTAACACTGATCGGAAAAAATGTATTTTCAAGCACTTCACAAAGTACTATACGAACAATTTTAAGCACTTTAAAGAAAATGTAGAAAAAATATTTCAATTCCTTTTTGGGTAATAAACATTTCACAGAGATTCACTCAAAAACTCCTCTTGTTCAACCAGTAATTATCTCTCATTCACTCCAGATATTAAAGCTGCCTCACACAAATATCAAAAAGTAGTGAAGCGATTTACGACCATTTTAACACTCATTGAGAATCGAAATTATTTCGATTTTTGGTCAGAGAAAATCATTTACTGTAAATATTGGCCATTCGGCCCACATCAAAGAAGCCGTAAAACATTTTAACCAACTGAAAAAAGTTCTACCAAAAACTGAAATAGCAAATCCCAGTCGAAAGAAAGGAAAACCATGCTTTGCTGGCCAAAAATCATTAAGAGCAGTGCATATTCAATTAACAGGGCCATATATATTGGCAGCTCGCAGTGGCACAGCTACACTTAAAATACAACAAAATACGGCAAACAAAACAGATTTTGGCGAAAAATGGTTTCAATGGGATCGAGTGCTTTAGAGTCGGAATGCCATGGAGATGGAAACGAAATTATGGAATGCTCAAAATATTCAAATTCGATGTGAGATACGTTTTCTGTGCTTCGCTCTGCTTTGGTTTGCTTTAGTTTGGTTGGCTTTTTGGGCCAAAATTTTAATTGAAAATGTTTTCGTGTGCTGCGAGCGTGAAACAATTTTCGTTCGTTTGTTTATCTAGGCAAATTGAAAAAAATACATCGAGAATAAAACAGAGCGTGGAAAAATATCCAAAAAGTAAGCCCGAGGCAAAGAGAGAAAAACAACCTGATCGGCAATTGGGTTTCCTCTCTGCCCAGTTCTATTTGGAAATTTTGTTTGTTTACAAATTGTTTCTAATTATTTTCGGGTTTTGTTTATCGCGGCAGTCAGTCTATTTCTGGAGTTAATGTTAATGATGCTGATGGAGAGATTTAACAGAAATTCCAATGAAGAAGTTCTAATGAGTCAGAAGAATCTAGGGGAAATATTTTGGAGCATAAGTTAAGGATGATCTTAGTAGTAATTGCCCTTGCTTACAGATTTTAACAGTTATATATTTTAATTGGTTGTAGTTTGTTTTTTGTGTTATGGGATTGAGTAAACGAATTTTGTAAACTTTGTTTGCGATTTTTGTGGCGAATTTGGTTTTGATTAAATTGGTTGTTATATTTGTAATATATTTTTGAAGCGAATTTGAATTTTTAATTTTAATTGGTTGGTTTTCTTTGGTTTTTTTTTATTTTGTTGAATATTCGTAATTTGTATTATCGCTGTGTTTCAATATGCGTTTCTGAATTGATGAACAAATGTCACACGACAGTCGACGAGAACTATACGAAATATTCCGACTTAACTACACAGAACTCAATATCATACTGAAAAAGGACGGCGCTTACAACGGCGTTCAGAGCCCCAAAGATCCGAACGGAACCCGAACCCGAACCCGAACGAACTTACGCCCACCCGACCAATTCGAACCAGCGAACGCAACAGCCAAACACGCCGGCAAAACAACAACGCACACACGTTCGTGGTGGCGAATGGGTGGTGGGTGGTCCACCCCCACGGCCGTTCGGCTCTTTTGCCGAACGTTGGATCGAACATGTTTGCCATCGAACCGAAAACAGTAACGAGCCGAAGTTGCGTATGCTCTATAAGATCTAGGGAGGTTGGAACCTCAAAAGGGGGGTGGGTCGGACCACTGATAATGGCTAGCTTGTTGCTTTCGGGGGCTATAATTTAATAGTTGTGATAATATTCCTAGGAGATCTATACTAAGAGCCAGCCTATTAACTCCAACATTTAATTGTAGTGCTACCAAAACCCTTGTAATACTACCGAAAAACACAAAAAACAAACCTAATAGCGGCACTCTGGCAGAGCAGGCTGGAAAACCCAATAAGGCCTAAAGGGAAAATCCCCGAACTGTCGAAATCGTGACTTCTCGTATTAGCCGATTCACGCGCAGGCGAGGCTCTCTCGCTAGCGCCCTCTCGCTCTCGCTCTCCAGACCCCCCTACACGGCTGGGGCCAGTGCGAGCGAGACGGCCAGACGGTTAGTTTTTGGGCCCTAGATATGTAAGGTGTCTTGTGTAGTGGAGCGGAGTGCATCTGAGTGGGAGAGCGCGAGAGCCATGTGCCGGGCTTACTGGCTGGTTGTCTGCCCGCGTGGCCGAGGGGATGAGTGGGGGTGGGTGTAGGTGTGGGTGGGCAGTGGGTAGTTCCATGGGTCGGCCGAACCGCGAGCGGGTTGGAGAATCGCAAAAACATGTGCGTTTCAGCAGTGCCAGTGCCCCTTCCTCTGCCCCTCTGCTTCTGCTCTCACAATTTGTTTTTGCGTTTTCTGTTTTGACTGGAAGTGCTCATCATTGCGATGATAATTTTCTGTTGAATATTTATGAAACACATGACTCACAATGTGATTAAGGCTGCCTCCTTGTTGTCCCAAAGGGCAAACACACAACAACGCTGGCTGGAAAGCTACGCCAATAAGAGCAAGGAAGAGAGTTTTAATTTCATTTAAGAGAGTCCTTTCAGAGAGCGAATGGGTAATGCTCACCCACACAGGCATGCCATTCACCGAAATGTTGGCAAATTCATCATCATGAGCTTGATGTTGATGACGACGCACGAAGACAGGAAGAAATTAATATGCGAAACGCAACAATTTTTGCCAACTACAACATCAACAAAAACAACAGCAACAACAACAGATGGAGGAACACACTTTTTTAGTATGGCTCGAGCCGGCAAAAATAACAGCAACAAGGAAAACATCTGCGAGGCATTGAATAATGCCAGCCAAGTTTTGGGGCGCGGCTTGTTGTGCTTTTTCTCGGGGTTTCCCCTTATGGCCGAGACACACTTTTGGCTTATACTGCGAAACGGTTATGGCTGTGATTGATTTCCCTAGGTAATTTCTTTCAAACCGCTATTTAAGGAAAAAAGGATTGGTTGCCAAATGGTTAATACCGTTTACCGGTAATCCAACATAAATGCATTCAGAGGTTTGCAATTTTTCGGAATTTAATAAAACGATAATGCTTAACTACACAGAAAGCAATCAAAAATAATTGGAAAATAATTTTTGGAAAATAAATAGTAAATATTTAATAAAGTATATCAAAAAAAAATGGTAAAAAAAAAACCATATTAGGTTAGGTTTATATTAAAACGCAATACTGAAGTACTAACAGTAGTGATTACATTAACTTTTGATTTACATTGGAATACATTACATATTTACATATTGGAAACAGAAAAGTGATTATGGTAATACCATGAGTTATAGAATTTTGAAAAGCAATTTATTTACCAAGCATGAGCAGGTATCCTTAACAATTTTGAAACCTTTTGTTTTATTTATGAATAGAAAGAGTTTCAAAAGATAATTGTTTATGAAAAAGTTATTAATTATATTTGACACATTTTAAATCGCTTGTTCATCAGACAAAACCATCGCCGATGGAAATCCCGCTGGCCAGCTGGGTTAATCCGGCAGCTAATATGCCAAAATCCATCAATAGTCAGCTCAATTCAGTCGAGTTCAGTTCGGTTGAGTTCAGTCAGTCATTCATTCAAGCTGCTAACAATCTCCGCCCCTGACAGACTCGGAAACCTAACAACCTGCCAAAGCAGCAATGAATGTCGTCTACTCAGTTGCCTGTCCATCTGGCCCGCTCCGCCCTCCCCCTTTTTGCCACCCCACGTGTCACCGCCCACCGCCCACCACCCCACGGCACTCCATTCAAGCGTTATTATTGTAGCTAGCTGTTATTCTTTTTCCCTGCTATTTTCGCTACGCGCTTTTTGCTCTCGGTCCTTTTGTGCGTGGGTGTCTGTTTCTATCTATCGGTGTATTTGTGTGTCACTAGGATACGCAAAAGCATCACGCGCCACAATCCGCCCATTCCACGCTCAACCCCCCACCCCCACCCCCAACGCTACAACCACTAGAGCAGTCGGAACCGGAGCTTCAGGACCCGTCAGGACCTCATCCTCATCCTCAGCCTCCCCCTCATCCCCCCGGCGACCATCGCGTTGTCTTGGAGTTTTTCAATTTGATATGCTCGACCGATTTTCGCTCATTTCAAGCGCGGGACAACGTTGTCAGCATCGTCAGCCAGCCGCTATTTTTGTTATTGTTTCTCCGCGTTGCGCTTGTCGTCGCCAATTTATCGCATTTTTACTTTGATTTTGCGTTAATTTTTGGACAGCAACAGCCGCTCCTCCCGAGAGGCACTCTTGTGTCCGAGAGTTTGCTGTGTATTTAGCGCTAAATGGTGTGTTGATATTTTCCTTTTTTACGCTTTTCCCATGGCCCCCAGGCTCAGCATTCTGGCCCCGCGGGGCACTCAAGTGTTAAGGCATATAATCAGTGTCAAGATGGCGACGATGATATGAAATCAATTTTACAAGGAGAGGAAGCTAGTTGATGGAATGCTATGCGCAAAGCTGACAGAGAAATTCTTGGCAATTCCACAGCCAGCTATGAGTTGTTAGAAATAGATATGCGGTGAATTTACAGTCGTAGCTTTAATTTTCATTCCCTGCGATTTTTGATTAGAATTGAAATAGAAGAAAACGACTTCAGAATCCTGGGCTTTCAGTTATTTCAAGGACAATGATAGCTGTCAGTTAAAAATGGGTGTTTAGGTATAAAACACAAAGCAAATTATTTATTTTCCATTTAAAAATGTGCCCAATTATTATTTAAAGTATAAGCAACTTACTTTTCTTCCTGTTACTTACAACACAACACTATGAGTGCCGGGTATAAATATATAGTTTAATATGCATTAACTTATTATTATGGCAAGGAAATAAAGAGAATGAAACATAATCGTAAATGCAGTACTGAGCTGCATCAAAAGAAGGACGTTAAGGGATTTTACGAATCGGTTATGAAACGGAAGTCAACCGGTTATGGCTTAAATATACTCAACGTATCGCTTTTAACATATTTTCAGATGGTTATGCCAAGGAACTTGCTGAACGACATTATTAAATCCTGAAATGGCAATAAATTCAATAAAACGAAAAATCACCAATGATTTTTCTGCCATTTACTTGGGCTTTATGCAGTTGGACATTATCTGACACTCCCACGCCCCTTACACACACACACAGACACACACACACTGGCACATATACCCACTTACACCGACTCAATGTCATTTGGATTTTACATCTTCTATACGTACAACAAGTCGTTAGGCCGAGTCGGGCACTCAGCTCCAGAGCCATTGCCTTTATGCATCAACGAGCACACAAAAGTGGTGGAAGAGCCACCATCCCCCCACCACATGGTCGATATTTATGCGAAAATCAAGCGATAAATCTAAATTATATGCCAGTGCTAAAGCTAATGCCATGACGGGGCAGCCTTGGCTCCTGATCCCAGCTCCACGGCCTCCTTCTCGAGTTCCTCTCGATTTGCTACCACCCCCCACCCCCACTCACACACAAGGAGTATTGTTATGATGATTAGGCATCCTTCGAATGGCCTAATTAAAAAAGAAACGAGAGGCGATGCTGATAGATTTTGATTATCATATAATTAGGAGAACTTTTGTGCGCTGGTCCCCACATTTGTCATCATCCATCAGGAGCGGAAAGGTCGCCGAACGGAATACTTTTCCAGATGCCTGTCAAAAGTTGGCCCCCCACCGAACACTGAACCGAAACTGAATGTCCTGTCATACATGTCGCAAAATTTCATTACGACTGCTACTAGTGCTGTGTCGTCAAGTTTTCGTTACGCTGTCAGCCGGAGGGGTCAAAGGGCACATCCAGCAACCTAGGCATCAGCAGAAACTCTCTGCGGTCGAAAATTAATGAAAATTTCATAAACTGACGTGGGCCTATGTATGTATATATCTATATATGTTATATCTGTCTCAGCGGCAGAAGCCATCGCAGTGTTTGCGGTTTGCCATCATAACTTAATTAACAGCCGCACAGCCCGAAAACCCTAGGCCAATATCAAACCCGAACCAGGTCCAAACCTATACAATCCCAACCCCTGACCTCCTGTCCCCCGGAGCACTGATAGATAGTGGGCATGATTCGCTGTCATCCCCTACTGCTTTGCATCTGACCCATCTAGGGCTGATCAAGTTATAAATAGTATTTCATATTTCACTACCAACGCTCGACCCAAAGAACTATGTCAAAGTAGCATATGTTAGGCCGGGGGGGAGGGGGCGGTGGATTAGAGGCCGGCTCTGCAACCCTTTCAGCCCCTTGGGGCATTCGGCAGTAGTCGGCGGCAGAAACTTAAGGGCGGCAGTCGCCCAAACACGTACTCATAATAATATTTCACTTTGGTCCCACAGAGTAGGTTTCCGCTTTCCCCATTCCCCTTGCGCCC